GCCAACATAGTAAGATTCCATCTCTATATAAAAAAATAAAAATTAAATATATACTTTTTGTTTGTTTTTTTGAGACAGCCTCACGCTGTTAGCTGGGCTGGAGTGCAGTGGCATGATCTCGGCTCACTGCAGCCTCCGCCTCCTGGGTTCAAGGGATTCTCCTGCTTCAGCTTCCGGAGTAGCTGGGATTGCAGGTGCATGCCACCACACCCAGCTAATTTTTGTATTTTTAGTAGAGACAGGGTTTGCCATGTTGGCCAGGCTGGTCTCAAACCCCTGATCTCAAGTGATCCACCTACCTCCGTCTCCCAAAGTGCTGGGATTATGGGCACAAGCCACTGCACCTGGCCTAAATATATACTTTTTTTTCTTACATTAAAGAAAAAATTTGTAAGCTCATATTGATTTCTATTTAATAATATGTGTACTTATATATTTAGGGGGAAATGACATTATGCAGAATAGTGTGGAGAAGTTCAAACATATGGGCACTCTTGAAAACAATGGCAATTTTAGTTGTAAGTACTCCAGAGGTGGTTGGTTGACGGAATGATGTCAGCAAAATAGTTGAGTAGGCACTCCAAGTTCTTATGCTGCCACAGAAACATTGAAAAACAAGCAGTAACCATCAGAACCAACACTATCAGGACTCTGGAAAACAGCTCAAGGCTTACAGCAACCAAGAAAACGGTAAACCAAAAAAAGGGGCAACTTCGAAATAGTAGGAAAGCTCTGGATTTTTTTTTTTTTTTTTTTTTTTTTTTGAGACGGAGTTTCGCTCTTGTTACCCAGGCTGGAGCGCAATGGTGCGATCTTGGCTCACCGCAACCTCCGCCTCCTGAGTTCAGGCAATTCTCCTGCCTCAGCCTCCTGAGTAGCTGGGATTACAGGCACGCGCCACCATGCCCAGCTAATTTTTTGTATCTTTAGTAGAGACAGGGTTTCACCATGTTGACCAGGATGGTCTCAATATCTTGACCTCGTGATCTATCCGCCTCGGCCTCCCAAAGTGCTGGGATTACAGGCTTGAGCCACCGCGCCCAGCCAGCTCTGGATTTTGTACTCACTCTACTCCAACCTCTACTCCTTGGCAAGGTGGCAGTCTTATAGAGGGAAACTCACATTCCCAGACTGGGACACTGGTCCCTGATTTTGGAGGGAGCAGAGAAGACCTTATTTATAAATTATTGTGCAAGTCTCTTCTAACCTGTCTGAGCTACCTGAAGGACTGACAGAAGGCACTCATCTGTTTCACCAAACTCAGAACTCAGGCCACAGAAGCAGATTCACTGCTTGAAGAAAATACTGTAAGCCAAACTAACAACACTCAGAAGCCTATGGAAAATATTATGGTCTGCACATGTAATAGACTAAGGCCCAGGAGCAAAAGCTGAGGAATTTCTTGGGAAACCAGGTCATTCAAATGTACCCATTATATTACAGGGATCCCTAGGCTAAGTGTTGAAGGACAGCCTTTGCACAGTCAGTCTATCAAGACTGAGGGAACTGCTTGTTTGTTTTTCAGCAAATGACATTCAAGGAAACTTCTGACAAAACACTAGCTGAACACAAGTTAAAGCAAAGAGACTTCTGTGACCATATACAACAAGGAATACAGTCTTTACAGAAACAGTTTGGGAATTATTTCAACTGTAACTGCAAATCAGGTAACTCTGATTTCTAGAATTACCACATTATAATATTCAAATTTCTAGTTGTCTACAAAAACACACATACACTTCCTGGCATGCAAAGAAACAGAATAAATTAACAGAAACTATCCCTGAGGAAGTCTAGGCATCAGACTCTCTAGACAGAGACTTTACAACTGTCTTATCAACAAACTGTGTTGGGAAAACTGGATATCCACATGCAAAACAATGAGGTCAGACCGTTACCTTACACCATATACAAAACTTAACCTATAACAAATTAAAGAGCTAAATTTTAAGACCTAAAACTATAAAACTCCTAGAAGAGAACATAGAAGGAAAGCTTCATGACATTGGATTGGCAATGATTTCTTTGATTTAACAGCAACAGCAAAGGCAACAAAAGCAAAAATAGACAAATGAGACTACATCAAACTTACAAACATCCATGCATCAAAGGATACAATCAGCACAGTGAAAAGACAACCCATGGAATGAAAGACAATATTTGCAAATCATATGTGATAAGGGGTTAATATCCAGAATGTACAAAGAATGCCCACAACTCAAAAAAACAACCTGACTAAATGACAGGCAAAGTTGTGGCTTTTTCTAAGTTTGGGGGAAAAAAATAGAAACAAACAAAATAATGAATGAGCAAAGAATTTGAATAGATATTTTATATTTCTCCAAAGATAATATACAAATGGCCAATAAACACATGTAAAGATGCTTCCCATCTTTAGTGACTGGGGACATGCAAATAAAAAGTACAATGGGATACCACTTCACACCCATTAGGATGGCTACTATCAAAACCCAGAAAATAGCAAGTGTTGACGAGGGGGCAGAGAAACAGGACATCTTTTCACTGTTGGTGGGAATGTAAAACGGTACAGTCGTTGTGGAAAACCATATGGTGGTTTCCAAAAACAATTACACACAGAATTACCGTAAGATCTAGAAATTCCACTTCCAGGTATATACCCAAAAGAATAACAAACAGATTCCTTAACAGATAGTTGTACATCCATGTTCACACCAGCAGTATTTCTAATAGCCAAGAGGTAGAAGCAACCCAAGTGTCCATTGACAGATGAATAGATTTCTTTTAATGTAGCATATACATATACTGGAATATTATTCAGCCTCAAAAAAGAAGGGAATCCTGTCATGTGCGATAGGGATGAACCCTGAAAACATTATGCCAGGTAAAACAGTCCAAGTCCAGACACAAAAGGACAAACACGAAAATTCCACTTATATGCGGTACCTAGAGCAGTCGAATTCACAGAAATGGAAAGGAGATTGGCGGATGCCAGGAGGTGGGGGAGAAATGGGGAGTTTAATGGGTATGGAAATTCAGTTTGGGAGGATTAAAATGTTCTGGAGATGGCTGGTGGTGATGGATACACAACAATGTAAATGCAGGTAATGCCGCTGAACCATACAATTACCAACAGTTAATGTTTTCCTTCCTTCTAGCCAAAAATAAAAATATTTTAAAATGGTTAAAATGGTAGTCTTATTATATTTTACCACAATTTTGTAAAATACAGAGTAAGATACCAGTTCACATGTACTAGGATGGCATGGAAAATAACAAGAGTTGGCGAGGAAGTGAAGAAATTGGAAACTTCACACCCTCCTAATTGAAATGTAAAATGGTACAACCACTGTAGAAAACAAATTCGGCGGTTCCTCAAAAAGCTAAATATACAATTACCATATAATCCAGCAATTCTGCTCTTAGATATATAGACAAAAGAACTAAAAACGGGCATTCAAACAAATATTTGTACATAAATGTTTGTATCAGCAGTAGTCAAATAACGAAAAGGTGAAAAAAACGAATGTCCACTCAATGGATAAACAAAATGTAACAAGTATATCCATAAAACAAATCATTATTCAACCCAAAAAAATGAAGTACTGATCCATGCCACACTGTGCATGAACCTCAGAAACATGCTATATGAAATAAGCTAGACACAGAAGATCCCATATTGTATTAGTCCACTTATATGAAATATCTAGAATTGCCAAATTCTTAGAAAGTGGAATAGAAGGTGCCGGGGGCTAGGCGGGAAGCTGGGATGGGGAGTCAGTGCTTCATGGTTAGTTTATCTGGGGCAATGAAAAAGTTTTGGAAACAGTGGTGATGGTTACATTGTGAATGTATTTAATGCTATTGAATTGTACTTAAAAATGGTTAAAATGTCAAAGTTTGTTATATATGCTTTGGATAATATTTTTAAAATTAATAATGCAATATACCAAAAACCATTAAATAGCACACTTTTAAAAATTTTATTGAATTTATGTTACCCAGATTGGTCTCAACTCCCGGGTTCAAGCGACCCTCCCACCTCCGAAAGCTCTGGGATTACAGCTGTAAACCACTGCACCCGGCCAAATCGCACACTTTTAGTAGGTGAACTGTATAGTATGTATCTCAATAAAGCTGTTTTTTTTTTTTAACTAAAATTTTTAAATGGTTAAAATGGCAATTTCTGTGTTTTTCTCTTACCACAATGAAATAAATGTTTAAAAGGCATGTACACATATAACTGTGACAAAAAAATTAAATAAGATAAAAAAGGCCTGTACACGAGAGAGCACAGACACCATATTCTAAGCCCAGACAGGAACCACTGCATGGCTTATTACTCACATTGGTGGAGGCAAGCTGCTAGAGTCTCAAGGGTTCCAGTTTGAGGCTCCCGAGTCCACTGGGTGTAGTGATAAAAGGCGTTTTAAGCTCGTTGCATGATTAGGAGAATAAAGAATTAAATGAATGGAGATGTATACATAAGTAAATCAGAGGCCGGGTGCAGTGGCTCATTCCTGTAATCCTAGCACTTTGGGAGGTCAATGTGGGTGGATCACTTGAGGTCAGGAGTTCGAGACCAGCTTGCCTAACATGTTGAAACTGTCTCTACTAAAATACAAAAATTACCGGGGCGCAATGGTGCGCACCAGTAATCCCAGCTACTCTGGAGGCAGAGGTTACAGGGAGCCGAGATCACTTCTCTTCACTCCAACGTGGGCAACAGAGCGACACCCTGACAAAAAAAAAAAAAAGGATCTAAACGGGCAATTCTTTAATTTTGTAACACAGCAAACACCAATCGAACACAAAGCAGGCGTTGTGACAGTGGACAAAATCTTGCCCTTGACTTTAATCCATCGACATTTGGGGACCTACAAACCCCCAAACTTCTGATAACTATTTAGACAAATACTAGTCGGGTTTTTTTGTGTTTTTACTTTTTAATGGAGAAGTGACGATTCACTTTTCTAAAGATTTGCGGTTATTGGCCAATAAACACGCCGGGGTTTACTCACCGACTTCCTCCGATTCTTGCCCAGCGGCTCTAAGCTTGCACTCCCTTGCATAGTGTTTTTGAATTATCGTCCACAGTTCCAGGTTGACAAGGGAATTTCTTCGGGTGTGGTAACGAGTCCACGAAGATACGCGGCGACGACAGAAGGGACAGCATAAACTTGCCTTTTCGACAGTCGACTGGAAGCACGGTTTACAGAGCGTGTGGTTACACGGGAGGGTGACGGGCTCGAAAAGGATTTCCATGCAGATCCCGCACTGGCACTCAGAGAGCGAAGGGACGGCGGCTTTGGGTACAGCCATTTTCACATATTAATAAAGTCTGTTAAACAACGACACCTGCAAGAAAAAGAATCCTATTTTCGGCCAACCATAGAGAGCAAACGCACAGTTTTGTGTTCCAATATTATGCCCAACGGCGTATCAGAATGCGGAGAACAGGAACATCAAACACGTCTTGAAGCAAAAAGGCGCCCTGTGGGTCCTGCAAACAGGAATACCCCGGAGGGCTGTGTCTTTGTCCATTTTTAAGGCAAACGTCCGGCAAGCAAATAAATGCAGGTTTTCGCCAGAGGAGCCTGGCTGCTCCGAGGCCTGAACACCGCTGGCTGCAGCTCCCGGTGCAGCGAGTAGAACGCGCCAAGTCCCCTCCTCCCCACACCCGGTGAGGATGCTCCGCTCAGCTCGGGGCAGCCCCGCCCCGGGACGCGGCTTCAGGAGGAATCCCGGGCTCCGGCTGCAGCAGGACTTCCGCTTTACCGCAGCTGCTGGGTGGATAAGTGACTCCAGCGTTCAGCTTTCGGGCGCTTTGCGCACCTTCCCGAGCTCAGCGTCCCTGTCCCTCTTACTCAGCCAAAGACCCTATTCGCTGCAGTAGAGCAGCAGCACCGGACATGGGCTCGTGACGTCACAACCGCCCGCCAAAGTAACACTACGCACTCAAGAGAAATGCCCGAAGGCAAACGCTCCCGGGGCGGGACTTCCGGGGTCTGCGCTCCTCCCGCCCCGCCAGTCCCCCCCGCCCGGAGACGCTCCCGCCCTAGCGTCGCAGCTCCTCCTAGTGCAGCCTGGGTGGGCCCGACCTTTCCCCGAAATTTCTGCTCCCAGAGGCTTCAGACACCCCCGGTTTCTTGGTTTCTTGGTTTGTGGGTAGAAAACGGGAAACCTCAAACCAAATTCAACAGCCAAAACAGTTGCATCACCTGAGGTCAGGAGTTCGAGACCTGCCTGACCAACATGACGAAACCCAGTCTCTACTAAAAATACAAAAATTAGCCGGGCGTGGTGGTTTGCACTTGTAGTTCCAGCTACTTGGGAGTCTGAGACACAAGAATACCTTGAACCCCTGGAGGCGAAGGTTGCAGCCAGCCGAGATCACGCCACTGTAATCCAGCCTGAGCGACAAGAGCGAGACTCCGTCTTAAAAAAAAAATAGCCAAACTTTTTCTAATTCTTCCCTCAGTACCCTCGTGAGGACCTTTTTGTTTCTATTGATTTGTAACAAAGGCCCTTAGGTCTCTTTCCAAAATTCTTAAAGCAGCATCTCCAAGAAATTGTCAAAGAATTCACAAACCTGGGACATTTTAAGAGACACTTAAACACTTCCTTCTGTATGGCCCAGCCACTTAAAGTCTGCAGCCCAGAGTAGGTTGTTTCAGAATTGCCTTCCGGTCTGGGTGCGGTGGTGCATGCTTGTAATCTCAGGACTTTTGAGAGGCCAAGGTGGGCGGATTAGGAGGTCAAGAGATCGAGACCATCCTGGCCAACATGGTGAAACACCATCTCCACTAAAAATACAAAGATTAACTGGGCGTGGTGGCTTGCGCCAGTAGTCCCAGCTACTCAGGAGGCTAAGGCAGGAGAATCGCTTGTATGGGGGTTGCAGTGACCTCAGATGGTGCCATTGTACTGTAGCGTAGGCGACAGAGCGAGACTCAGTCTCAAAAAAAAAAAAAAGAATTGCCTTCCCTTCTAAGGGCCCCAGGCCGTTTGGCTTGAGCGACAAACATCAAAGCTGTCTCCGTCCTAGAGTTTAGATGTTATTCATGGGCATCCTTTATGTAATATATAGTTTATTAAGTTTCAACAATCAAAATTCTACAAAGGTACAAGGGAGGTTAACAAGAATGGAATTTCATATTTTATGCATGTTGAAGTAAGTTTTTATGTCTTGGCGTTAACCTTTGAATTGACAACTGATTCTACAGATTGAGTTCTAAGAAAAAAGCAGAATTTGGCCATGAAAATGAGGGGAAATACATAAGGAATGTGATCCCTAGTACTTAAGACCCTGGCCTAAGGTTTTCATGTTTCGTTTTAGAGTTGGGCTGCTGGGGCCTGAGGGTTTTTTTCCTTTTGTTTTAGAATTGGGGTCTCACATCATTTGAACCCATGAGGCGGAGTAGGATTGAGCCAAGATGGCCCTGCTGCACTGAGCCTGGGGGATAAAGTGAGACTCATTTCAAAAAAAAAATAAGGCCGTCACTTCTCGGCCTTTTGCCTAAGATCAAGTATAAAAAAAAGAAAAAAAAAAAAAGGCCAGGCATGGTGGTTCACGCCTGTAATCCCAGCACTTTGGGAGGCCGAGCCAGGCGATAGCTTGAAGTCAGGAGTTCAAGACCAGCCTAGCCAACATGGTGAAACCCCACTCCCCATCCCTACTAAAAATATAAAAATTAGCCAGGCGTGGTGGCAAGCGCCTGCAATTGCAGCTTCTCAGGAGGCTGAGGCAGGAGAATGGCTTAACCCTGGAAGGCAGAGGCTGCAGTGAGCCGAGATTGTGCCACTGCACTCCAGCCTAGGGAACAGAGCAAAACCTTCATCTCAATAAATAAATAAAAGAAGTATGATCTTACTATTTTGTCCAAGCTGAGGGAGTCTTTCACCTCAGCCTCTGGAGTAGCTGGGTCTAGAGGATTGCAACACTGCACGGAGCTCCAGAACTGCATTTTTTTGAGGTAATATTAATCAGTATGAAGAAAGAGAAAAGAAAATCACTGGGCATGGAAACCGCCTGTAAGTTCTTCTGAGATTGCGGAGAGCATTCAGGTTTGGTTAGAAGAGTGGTTTCCAGGTTGAGAAAAAAAGGAGACATGGGTCCTTGGTAGAAATCTTTGGGAGCTTTTATTTCAGTGCAGATTCAGAAGGCTGTTATTATCTGTGATAGCTCACACCTATAATCCCAGAACTTTGGGAGGCCAAGGCAGGAAGATCACTTGAGCCCAGGAGTTCGAGTCCAGCCTGTGCAACATAATGAGACCCTGTCTCTACAAAAAATGAAAAAAATTGGCTCACACTTGTACTCTCAGCTACTCTGGTGTCTGAGGTAGGAGGATCACTTGAGCCCAGGAGGTCAAGGCTGCAGTGAGCGGTGATGGTGCGACTGCACTCCAGCCTGGGTAACAGAGCAAGACCCTGTTCAAAAAAGAAAAAAGAAACCTGGGACTGTCATCCAGTTGTCTATGGTATCAATCCCTTAACCTGGAATTTCAGGCTTGTTTTGTTTGTTTGTTTGAGACCGAGTCTCATTTTCGTTGCCCAGACTGGAGTGCAGTGGTGTAATCTCAGCTCACTGCAACCTCCACCTCCTGGGTTCAAGCAATTTTCATGCCTCAGCCTCCTGAGTAGCTGCATTTACAGGCGCATGCCCTGTAATACCACGTGCTTTGTAATACCACACCTGGCAAATTTTTGTATTTTTAGTAGAAATGGGGTTTCACTGTGTTTGCCATGCTGGACTAAAACTCCTGACCTCAGGTGATCCACCCACCTTGGCCTCCCAAAGTGCTGGGAGTACAGGTGTAAGCCACTGCACCCAGACTTCAGGGTTCCTAATATGCCCACAACCTGCTTTTTCCATGGAGTCTTCCATTTTTCTGTTTTTTCTTTTTTTTTGAGACCAAGTTTCGCTCTTGTTGCCCAGGTTGGAGTGCAATGGTGCAATCTCAGCTTACCACAACTTATGCCTCCTGGATTCAAGCAATTCTCCTACCTCAGCCTGCTGAGTAGCTAGGATTACAGGTATGCGCCACCACATCTGGCTAATTTTGTGTTTTTAGCAGAGACAAAGTTTCTCCATGTTGGTCAGGCTGGTCTTCAACTCCCGACCTCAAGTGATCCACCTGCCTCGGCCTCCCAAAGTGCTGGGATTATAGGCATGAGCCACCATGCCTGGCCAGAATCTCCCATTATTCTTTTAAACATGCAACTATGATTTGTTTTCTGTCATCCAAATGCTTGCTTTCATGACATTGCTTTCCTGGTTCATCCAAAATGGGTTGCTTTGTGGCTGTGCCTACTTCAAACATCAATTTAATGTACCTCCTCCAGAGAGTATTTGCCCCACCACCCAGTGATGCCCCTTTTCTAAATTCCCCTAATCATATATTGCCTAGTGATAATGATTTTTATTGCAATTTTACTATTTAACTTCTATATTTTGATTTCAATCTTCAGGTGCTTATGTCTTATGTACGGAATATATTTCATATACTTCCTCGGATTTCCTTGGCCTTGTTTGCTTTCTGTACCCAAAATCACTTGCTCTGCCTGGGGCTTACCAGTTGCATTTCTGGAGTCTCTGGCTTCTCCTGCCACTTAGGAACAATGCAGGAGCTGGCTTCTCAGTGCCTGTCTGGATAATACATGCTGGAATTATGGGAAGGGTCACTCCCCATGGAGCAACTTTTGTCAATTGAAACCAGTGGACTGAGTGAGCACGATACTTAAATTCCCTTTTCTTCTTCCTTCCAAGGATGGTTTCTCCAGTGTGTCTGGAAACAGACAAGACTGAGTAAGGATACCTGCTGAACAACTGATGTGTCTCTTGTGGCTCATTTTCGAGGAGGGGCCAGCAAGGTAACACATCACCATGTGTTGCTTCAAATCCTTCTCTACCTAACTTCCTTCCAGCTTTCTTCACTCTGGCTGTCCTGAATTTGTACCTCCCACATAAAGCATTGGCACTTAATCCTTACCTTGAGGGCAGGATTCACACATTTTTAATGTTTCTGTTATCCACAGCACCTAATACATGGCATTTGGTATTCAGTAAATATTATAAATAAATGGTCAAGATGTAAGAATTCCCTTTCCAGTATAAATAACTATGGTACTTCATTAGAGAACAAATACACATCAACATATAATTTATAATATCTCATGATGTACATTTTAGGTGTTTTTATTTTAATTTATGAAAATAGAGACAAGGTCCATTATTGTTACAGCTCTTTTACTCCAATAGTTTGATGAGTTCTGAGTTCTTGTCCCATGACTGAGAAGAATGAGGTACATGGACACTGGAGAGTGAGTCAGGCAGAGTAGATTTTATTGAGCGACAGGAAGGCTCTTGATGGTGAGAGAGGATCTGAAGGTGGGTTGCTGGCCACGAGCTTGAGTCTATAGGTTTTTATGGGCTAGAAATGGGGAAGTGCATGCTGATTGGTCTGTGGATATGCTTGAAAAAGCACCATTCAGTAACAGGCATGACAGTGTAGAGGACCAATGGGGGAAGGGTAGTTATGTATAAAATAGGTGAAGGATAAGGACCAATCAGGAGAGAGTGCCAAACAAGAATGGGAGCTCTCAGTTGGGTTCATGGATTTATCTGGAACTCGTAGCTTGGTTTTCAGGCTGTAGACTGTCCTTGACTTGAAGGTTGAGTTTAACCAGGGACCCATCCCTGCCTACCTAGGAATTTACCTGCCTCCTCTTGCTATCACTATGTTGCCCAGGCTGGTCTCAAATTCCTGAGCTCAAATGATCATCCTACCTTGGCCTCTCAAGGTGCTTGGATTACAGGCTGAACCACCATGCCCAGCCTTGTTTATTTTTAAAATATGTAATATATTCACATGGTTCAAAATTGAAAATGTGCAAACTGCTTTCCCCTTTCAATTAACGGTGAAAAGACTTCCTC